GATATTGAGATTCAAAAGCACTGAAAAGTTTGAGCTCTTCTATATCTTCACAATGTCTGTGATTCTCCTTCCTGACCCTTTTGATGAGAACTATGTAAGGCAAAGAGTTCAAACTTTAATTCCCACTGTTGGAGAAACATCACACAAAACTTTTTCCAAGATCCATGCATAGTGTTGACCTATAGGAGCTGCCAATTATACATGGGACAGAATACTAACCTGGTGATTTCCATCTGCCAGATGTATGGTTTTTAAGAATAGAATAGAATAGAATAGAATAGAATAGAATAGAATAGAATAGAATAGAATACTTTATTGGCCAAGTGTGATTATGCACACAAGGAATTTGTCTAGGTCTAAATATTCTCAGTATACATAAAACAAAGATACATTCGTCAGGAGTCGAGAATCATAAGGTACAACTCTTAATGATAATCATAGGGTACAATAAGCAATCATACTAGAAAACAGTCAATATAAATCGTAAGTATACAAGCAACAAAGTTACAGTCATACAGTCACAAGTGGGAGGGGATGGATGGTAAGGAGTGATGACAAGATTAACAGTAATAGTAGTGCAGACTTTGTAATAGATGAACAGGGTTGAGGGAATTATTTGTTTAGCAGTGTGATGGCTTTCAGGAAAAAAACGATTCTTGTGTCTAGTTGTTCTGGTGAGCAATGCCCTATAGTGTCGTTTTGAGGGAAGGTGTTGAAACAGTTTACGTCCGGGATGTGAGAGGTCTGTAAATATTTTCACAGCCCTCTTTTTGAGGTGGGGAATGGATAACAATGATGTGATGCAGGCATGTTGAAGGACAAAAGGTGTTTGGTAGGATAGATTATAATGAAAAGTCATCTTGATAATCATATTCTTTGTTAGTAAACCAGGTTAATTTCCTGGATTGATCACCAAATCACGAGCAAAGCTCTGGCCACTTTTAAAATTATTCTGTGGTGTTCCAACATTTTTAAAAATTTTCTATACTTAAAAAACACTGGGAAAATTATTACTGTTTAAAAGAAGTATAGCATCCTGATGGGCAGTTTATATTCAGTGCAACTCTTGTTTTTCCTGTCACTGGGCCAACACTGCAAACTCTACTTCTTCCTCTTTCCTTTACGGAAATGATTTCAAATTACTTTTTTAATCATTCAGTCCTCTCTCCTTGTATTCAGCAATATCAGATAAAGGAGAGAGGGTTGTTGTTAAAATTCAGCATCCTCTTCCTTGCATTTTTCACTATGGAAAATATTCTATTAATGATGAGATTTTCATCTGCTAGCATGCATGGATTTTTTCCCTCAAACATGCGTCTTCCCTTGAGCATTTGTAAACTAAGATTTATCAGAAAGACAATAGTAGTACAATAGTAGAAATGACAGGAATTTATTACAAATGGGGATATCTACTGCTTACAATTCTAATAAGCATAATAAAGCTGGAAGTTTTTTACATACAGTAAAAAAAATCCAGTTCAAACCTGTACCTCCAAAAACTAGGGGCCCAACTTGTGATGAATCATATGTATGTAAGACTTAAAGAAAAAAAAATATAGCACATTATCAGGTATAAAACACAGATTTTATATTTCCCTTGTTGGTGGGTTAGTGGGCAACATTATCTGCATTTTTAATAATCCACCATACATTTGAGGAATAAAAACCAATGAAAATACAAATCTAAGAAAAGAAGTCGAAGTTGTTAGGACACTGCATACAGGCTTGTGTGATACAAGACTTATTGACAGATTAGTTTTTTCCACTGGTAGTCATTTTGTACTGAAGCCATAGAAGTGATGAAAGATTCTCAGAAGGCATGCTAGTGATCATTAAACCAGAGACAATAAAGCCATGGTTCTACAGAAGCTGCCTGTATTATGATTCTCGTCATCTGAAGTCCACACATCTGGGAGTTATCCAGCTTAGATGACATGGATCTAGGAGAAACACAGCCTAGGGATAGTAACTTGAAGACAAAGAAAAGTATTTAATTGAAATGCATCATGGATGAAAATGTCTATAACTGATTGCAAAAATCCTACAATGCTCTTTCAATGCTCTTTTTTGTGAAGGCAGAAACCCTTTAGCCTTGGTTTTAAAATCTAACCAAATTATCTCCATGATATTTGTTTAGCAGTTCTGATCAGATAAAGCAATCTAGCCTCATGTCGCTGAAAGCATCCTCTTAAAAGGCTTCCTGCTCTGTGTCTGCAGGAAAGCACCTCTTGTAAACATCGGAACTTACTGTGATGTATACATTGTAGGCCAGCCTTCTTAGTCAATGGTGGCAAAAAAATCAAGAAGAATTCTGGTAACCATCTTTTTGACTACTCTCTCCACTTCTCTTCTCTCTATATATTTTGATTGCATCTCAAAAGATCCCTCTGTTAAAGTGCTGAAGTTTGCAGACGATGCAACAGTGATTGGTCTCATTCAAGATGATGAATCTGCATACAGATGGGAGGTTGAACAACTAGCCTTGTGGTGCGACTGGAACAATCTTGAACTAAATACACTCAAAATCGTAGAAATGGTGGTAGATTTTAGGAGAAACCCTCCTATATTACTACCTCTTATGATACTAGTCAACACTGTATCAACAGTAGAGACCTTCAGGTTTCTAGGTTCTATCATATCTCAAGACTTAAAATAGACACCTAACACCAAAAACATCATCAAAAAAGCACAACAAAGAATGTTCTTTCTGTGCCAACTCAGAAAGCTCAAACTGCCCAAAGAGCTGCTGATTCAGTTCTATAGGGGAATTATTTAGTCTGTCATCTGTACTTCCATAATGGTCTGGTTTGGCTCTGCAACCAAAAAGACAGACTTCAATGGATAATTAGAACTGCAGAAAAAACAATTGCTACCAATCTGCCTTCCATTGAGGACCTATATACTGCATGAGTCAAAAAGAGGGCTGTGAAAATATCTACAGACCCCTCACATCCTGACATAAATTGTTTCAACTTCTACCCTCAAAATGACACTATAGGGCACTGCACACCAGAACAACTAGACACAAGGACAATTTTTTCCTGAATGCCATTACTCTGCTAAACAACTAATTCCCACAACACTGTCAAACTGTTTACTGTATTACTATTACTCTTCTCATCCTTCTTATTAACTATCTCCTCCCACTTATGACAATAAACTTGCTTTTTGTATCTTTACGATTTATAGTTGTATTTGTTTCCTAGTATAATTTGATTGCTTATTTAGTAACCTACTATGACTATCACTAATTATTGTATCTTATGATTCTTGATGAATGTATTTTTTTTCTTTTTCTTCTTTTATATACACTGAGAGCATATGCACCAAAGACAAATTCCTTGTGTGTCCAATCACACTTGGCCAATAAAGAATTCTGTTCTATTCTATTCTATTCTATTCTATTCTATTCTATTCTATTCTATT